TCATGCTGCAATATTCTGTCGATTTGCAACTGTCTTTGTGTGAAGAACTGGACGTGGTGAGAATTCCTGCAGCGGAGGGGGGGGGGGGTGGCGGCATATTAGATCAAAGGGACGTCCTATTGGTTGGTAATAGATAATTTTGATATAGAAATTATCTATTACCTGTACCTAATTATCTGTTACTTATTGGTTGGTATTTGATAATTTTAATCTAATGTTTGGTTCTGAGTTGGATGTTATGTGCGGTATTTGTTTTGATGTCCTTATTATTGTATGAATATTATGTACATTTTGACAAGCTAGGAATGAGAAAAAAATAAATAGCAATTTAAATAGATATCAAATCACTTAATTACGCTTACAGTTCAGACATTCCTAAAGATGAAAAAAATAAAAATAAAAAAATCAGATACGTTTTTCTGTACGAACAAAATGAGTAAATGAAATTGAATAAAAGAAATTTAGTAACCGCAATTAAACAATTATTGGATGTGTACTCGCATCACATAAAATATCCCGCCTCTTTGGATGTGAAGGAGTATTCCATCATAAAGATATCCCGATTTTTTTCCTTGGATGTGAACGAGTACTCACATTGCAAAGATAGCTTGCTTTTTTCTTATTATTATTTGATGTGAACGAGTACTCATATCACAGATATAAATTGTCTATATCTTGGATGAGAACGAGTACTCACATCACAAAATTAAATTGTTTTTATTTTGGATGTGAACGAGTACTCGCATCACAAAATTAAATTGTCTTTATTTTGGATGTGAACGAGTACTCACATCACAAATATATCCTGTTTTTTTGGATGTGAACGAGCCCGACCTGCGACATCCCCGATCGACCACATGGCCAATGCGCACCTCTCGCTTCCTCTGTTATTCGCTCTCGTTTTTTGTTTCTGTCCCTATCTTTTCACGTAAATTATCTCCTTATTCGTATTTATTCCTCCTTTCGCTTTACCTTTTTCGAAATTCTCCGTGAAGATGCGGGCCGTTCTGATGCACCGGCGTGTCGCACAAATCGATGAGTTCAAGTCAGGCATGGAATCATCGAGAAGTGATGTTGTCACGGTGACGCCATTGCAGGATTTTTCCCGTTGAAATTTTCTCGGGTGAATTATTTTTATTTTAAGATGGCTCTTCGTTCCTTCCGTCGATCTCATGAGTCGTTCGTACCCTATTTGCGGTTTTATTAAATTTGGACGTTTTTAAATCTCATGATATCAGATTGTAAACTCTTAATGGTGGAATCGAATTAGTATTTGAGTTATTATGCTGATAATCACTCAGATATATGAGGGATTTTAGTAGTCATAGAGCATACTTTATTTTATCTGTTCATGGCGGGATCAATGCAAGCAATTTGTGTTAATCACCCAAAGAATTATTTCAAATAATAATCTTGGCGATAATCGTTAATTACAAATTGATCACGTGTTCAATACGACTTTGGAATTTATCGGATATCGGATTTATATTACGTAGGCTATTTATATTATCTTTATGAGATTATCAAAATATTTTACATAATATAACATAATGTGATATCTATGCCATCGCCCGTTATTTTCCGTCTTATTAAGTTTTATCTCTCGTCAAATTCCGTCTTTACCGAAAATTCCAAAATGATATATATCTCTATGAGTATTTTTTCCCTTTTTTTAATTTCCTCTTTTTATTTTCTGTAAGGTAATATTATCCAAAAAAAAATCAATTTCCTCTATATTATTTTCTGCATTACTAAGAGAGTTATCAAAGTTAATATTCTCCAAAAGGACATATCTCTATGAATATTTCTTTTTCCCATCAGCTTTTTTTTTATTTCTATTTTCTACATTACCAAAGATTTTACCGAAGTTAATATTCACTTTTTTCCGGAGTACCAAAAGAGATATTACTCCAGACATCGAGAATTCACGATCTCTTTCTCCTCAGGTCGACTGTGGTGGTCGAGAACAAGAGCAACAAGGAGCACGAGGTGGAGGTCGTCCTTCGCGCCGACACGATGCTCTACACGGGCCAGATTCAGACGCTCGTGAAGAAGGAGAGAAACGAAATCAAGTTGGAACCGCATTCCAGTAAGTGAAGGAGGAATGGGAATGGTTGGAGGCTCTCTCGGATGGTATTTGTGTGATGGAAGCCGTGTTTAGAGATTCTGTTGTTGTTGTTTTTCTTCTCTCTCTCTCTTTTTTCTTTCTCTCTCTTTCATTCTCTATCTCTCCCTCTCTCTCTATTTCTCGTTCTGTTCTTCTCTTCTCTCTCTATTTCTCGTTTTCTTCTCTTCTCTCTGTCTCTTCCCTCTCTCTCTTCTCTCCTTTCTCTTTTCTCTCTTTCCTTCTCTTTCTCTCTCTCTCTCTCTCTCTCTCTCTCTCTCTCTCTCTCTCTCTCTCTCTCTCCTCCCTCTCCCTCTCCTCTCCCTCCTCCCTCCCCTCCCCCTCCCCCTCCCCCTCCCCCTCCCCCTCCCCTCCCCCTCCCTCCCCCTCCCTCCC